TGTAGTTAATAGAGAGCTAAGCTCCTAAGCTACGTAGCTATCTATCTACAGGCAGTTGCCTGAGCAACTATCGGACCGATAAGGCGTAGCCTATCGGGTGCCTCAAGTTAACCGAGATTCCATCGAGGATCATCTAAAGGGCGTTCAGCCCGTTACAGATAGTAATTCTATATCTTTTAGTAAAGGATAGATCTTCTCTAAACTACTCTTTTAATTTAATAATCTACTCTCTCTATAATACATATAAATAATAGATATAATAATTATAGAAATAATAAAATATAATTTAATAACGTAAGCTATAGACTCTAATTATATCTATATAATTCTAATCTAATCGTAACCTAAACTTTTAGTAATATAATTATTATCTAATCTAACTCTTAGTATAATAATTAGATTATATTAGAGTTAGATTACTAAGAGTTTAGATTTAGGTTAGGTAAGGGTTATAATTATATAAGACCCGACCCAACCTAAACCCGAACTCTTAGCAACCTAACCCTAACATAACCCCCACCTATTTACTAGTCTACTCTTTATACTATCTTTCTTACTATAACCCAGGTTAAGCTTAGAGAAGTATTAGTATCTAACTTTATATTATAATATATTAGAAGTATATCTACTCTACTATATCGCTAGATAAATAACCTACAGCGCTCTTTACTTAATCTTACTCTCCCTAGCCTAGATTAAGCTTAAAGAAGTATTAGTATCTAACACCGTGTAATATTAGATAGAGACAGCTGTAGAGATTCTTAGTACTAAGAATTAGTTAAGTTAGGTCTTTTAGAGATATAACTTAACTTAACTACTATCTAAAGTCTATATAATATAATCTCTACTACTATCTAGCGCTAAGAATCTATATTACTATCTCTACCTAAGGTTTATGCGATCTAATCTTACCTAGAACTTACCTCTAGGTAGTCCCTACCTATTTACTAGCCTATGCTCGTCCTATTGTATTACTCTTTAGAAAGACTTTTTAAAGTAAAATATCTCTAGACTTAGGATATTTAGCAACCAGCTCATTATGGTAAATTATACAGCTAGGAAAGCGCTTTAAAATCGTGACGGGCTGAACGTCCTTGGGATAGCTTCTCGATAGAATCTGGGGTTGCTCATAGCATCCGGGCGCTACCCAGAGTACCCGGAATTTGTGCAGCGTCTGTGCGGCGTTCAGACGCCTTGGCATAATCATTCTCCGTCAAGTAAATAAACACCTCGCAAGTAGAATTCATAGCTCCTTGTCGAACATAATCAATTATATACTAAGCATTTGCTCGACATAGCGAAGCCCCTTAAAAAAGTGTACCCGTAATCACCTAAGCTAGACCTAGTATTGGTGGACTTACTTGTGGACTTACTGTGCAGCTCAACGCAACCTAACAGGACATCTCTCCACTTGCCAGTCCGAAACTCAATTCAGTGTAGGGTGGATTGATCTGGAAAAGCGCTACACCTATTAAATATCAGACCGTACAGTAACACAACGGACCCCTATGGCCGACCGACATACTTCTGGCATTAGCACTTTGTCAGCTGTAGCCTAATGTCAGATACGAAGAGCTTTTCATAGTCATATCGTCGAGCGCCAATACGACAACACAGGGTGCACGAACAGTAATGTTAGCAGCCACACATTCACTACTTCGGCAGGGATGCTTCACTAGCATATAAAAGCTGATGGTGTTGCTCCTACTCCTCCGAATACAACCCGCTTGCTCTTCATCTTAAAGGTATCACCTATATCAAATTGAACGGGAAATATACTACGCGACACAACTACGCAGCCAGTTCTTCTTTGCCAAATGCTCACGATCGCCTCAGCCCAGGTGGTGTCTTCGAAGGCGCTTAACGGAATGAACTCTATTACGATAGCAGAACACAGCCTAATTTACCAGGCTGCTCTACTGCAGTTGGTTCCAGCGGTTTCTTCTGTCCCTCTTGATACCGGCTACGTGAAAAAGCGGTGGAGCAACAACCGTTCATGTCGAACCACTTGTGCTGCCTGCATAGTCGGATGCTGGGCCACCAATCCTGTAAGCAGTGAAAAGCCAACGAGCAGTTCCTATCTGGTATACTAACCTGTCTCACAGGCTGGCAGCATAGCTAGAGAAAACTGCGACACTAGATGTGAGAATAGGAAAAGGGCCTGCTATCTGAGTCCAGCTGTAGTTGAGCCCTTTGCCATCATTGATGGATCGAGTACTACCCCAGACCCAGATGACTACCCCGAATGCGACGGTTAATAGAGACTACTTTGACTGACCCGTATCGAACATTCTGTCTCTATCAACCGTCGCATGGCTGTGTGCGGCTAAAATATGATCATGTTTTGTTATTCCAAAGCGCATGAGATGTGTATTCTTTGCCTGAATATTGCCTTGCCATCCTGTGTACACTGAGTTGTCGAGTACAACGGAGGTTTACGGAAGCCACCAATCGTCTCGACTCATATTATGGAGCGTCTACTATGCTACTATAACACTTCGTTCGGTTCATCCCACATTAATAGTTAACTAACTCACTAGTTGGTAAATTCGTTCTGCTTACGCAAAAATAGTTCACTAATTAACAATTTTCCACTCGTACTCCGGCGTGAAAATAAGTTGACGTATTGGAGACAGTGTTAGAGAGGAGGGTTACTAATAAGATTCTATGTACTGTATGCACGAATCGGATGTTTGCGGTGATGGGCGCTTTGCGACTGCAGGTGTTTGGATAATGCAATGATAACTTGCTTACTGCCCCATAGCTCGCAATGAGATGCTTAGAAAATAAGCTAGTTGACTGACTACTTAATTTATCATACTGGCTATAGGGTTTTGCCCTAGGTCAGGGCTACCCCTAGCGGCCCATATATTGTGCTAGGGCACAGGCTGGTATGTAGTCCCAAGCTTAGTGTTGCACATGTTGTTGTGGTCATTTAATTCATATTGCTTCTGCTATCTACTACATTCGTTTATCTGTTGTGTATCGCCATTCCCTTTTCTTGTTAAGGCGGTGCATTTCTTTTGCCGTTACAGTGGCTTGTTGCTTGAGCGGCCTTGTATAGGCTGCGACATCCGTTTATAGTACATCCTTTAGTAAGATCGTGCAATTGTTGCTAGTCACATATAGAATTCCCTGGTGAAAAGACTGCGACGTAGTTCCAACTACGTCACTGCTACCCTCTTTGCTGTCTTTCCTTTTGAGTCCCTGGGGGCGAGGGTTTATCTGATGAAATTGATATCTACCCGAGCCTGCCAAGACGTACGGCGTAAACGGTCACGTTCTCTTCTAGATTATCGTCAACTAATCACTATAGAATATAACCGGCACACTTAAGGCTGACGACGTATACGCCATTCAATCTTCTGTAAGATGACTTCACTGGCTTATGAGGGGAAGTAAGATAATCTACCCAGGCGTCTTGTCTTTGAGTGAGGAATATCGACTATCACGTCTTCTGATCGATGGGTTGAAGGTACGGGGTCACCACTGCTAGAGCCCTAGCGAAGACGAATGCAGATGTGATCGCGTTGCCTTCTTTATCAAATACCTACCTATCAATAGTTTCATTCTTACTATACTACCACTATTAGAAAGTATAGTATTACGAAATATTCGGCTCGTATATTTCCTTCTGTTTACAATTCTTATTAATCATAACTACAAAGGGACCAAGTTCTCCGCATCTTTCGATTACCCACAATCGGGCAGACTATTATTCAGACCGTCATCTAGAAAGCATAATTTCGAGAAATAGCAAGTCGACAACTCACAATGGATAGAGCAGAGTTTAACTGTGTTTACCAGTCTTCAGGTGCGACACCTTTTGACTCGAACACGTAGCCAACAATCCGAAGATTGAGCAGATTGAGAACTCTCGCCTCACCGAACATCATCGAGCAACCCGCGAAAACGATCGGTACTTCGCTTACATCCTCAAACACCCGTTGACTATGAGCACTCTGAGGCGTCACCAATCGGGTCTTCTATGTTTTCGAATAAGAGTTGTTATGAGAGAGTTATTCGCAGAGTTCCAGGTACTGCTGCATTGCTGATGTTCGGAAATGGCTCAGCTTCATAGGCTTTACTCTCAGCGGGGCAGACGGCTGCTCCAGGAGGTAATAGTTTCGGAGCATATCAAACAACAATCTGAGGGTAAGCTGAATGGTTCCCCTATGGCTCTTTGTGCAAATTTCTGACCCACACCAGTAAGAGTTTAGGCGCAATGCTTGTGCTATATGTGGCAGGTGACTTTGGCGCCTATCTCGATCTTGCGATTACATTGAGTAACTGCATTTGTCGCCAGCTACCATGGCGGCGGATCGCAATGTGCTTTGTCGCACAGATGCTCGGAGGTTTCGTCGGATCTGGTGTTGTATATGCCAACTACATCAGCGCCATTGATTGAGTTGAAAGTGGAAAAATGCGGGCAATTCCTCCTGCGGAAAATGCTACTGCAGCTATTTTCTGCACCTAACCGCAACTCTTCTTGACCAAGACAAGTCAGTTGTATTCGGAACTCATCGCAAGCACGTTTCTCATGTTCGTGATACTTGCGCTGAAGGACCCCAACAGTAACGGTGCAACCAAGGTATATATGGATAAATCTGATAATTGCCAAAAGTGTTGACAATGCCCGCAGAGCGACAAATGATTCCTGCTATGTTCATCCTCCTCATCTTCGGCAAAAGCTCTTGTTCTGCTTGGCAGACTGGCTATGGCATCAATATTGCTCGCGACTCTAGCCCGAGACTGATGTTCTCTGCTGCCGGATATGGTCATGAGGTCTGGTTTGCAGGTGGACATTACTTCTGGGAGAGCACCTCTTCATATCCTGAGCAGTGACGTTACTGATTTACAATCGGATCCCCTTGGTAGCGCCATTTCTGGGCTGCGTATTCAGGGGATTCTTTTTTGACGTCTTCGTCTACACGGGACTCAGACCGATTAGCTCTTCTTGGGTAGGCATGAAGCTGCTCACGCCTGAGAATATGATGCGTGTAAGAAGAGAGCACCTCAAGAGAGAGAAGGGATTTTATGATGCCCCATTCTACCAGCCTGTTGAAGAGATGGTTGTTTTCGAGACCTTTCATGTTCGATTTGATCCATGTATTAGCATGTAAGAGACGAGTTCGAGAAAGTGCTTAGTCACTTACACGTGTGGGTGTAGCGTGACGACATTGCCCCGCAGGGTTGCTACAGGCTGCTTTGCTCACCAAATTTTGACTCACGTTGGTAATCGCTTCCGTCCCGAACTCTTTTGGCTGAACCTACACTACCCTCTCATATCCAGCGAGCACATTACTAACGTCACATCAAAATGGCAAAGAAAGGCGGCGCCGGCGCCGGCGCCAGCGAGAACTCGAAGAAGGCACAAGGGCAGGCCCGCAAGGCAGAGGCTGCGGCATCAAAACAGGCAGCAAAGAATCAACAGGCGGAGAAGGAAGAAGCAGAAGAATGGAAGAAGGGTGCGAAGTCTAATGCGAAGGCGTAGGTGGGCTTGCATCTCTGCGCAACTGTAGACTAACACATGGCAGCGAGGCTGCAGCAGAAAAGGCCGCAGAGGCAGCACGTAAGAAGGCCGAGAAGGAGGCATTGCTGCGTGAAGAAGAGGCATCAATGCCATCGAAGCCCAAAGGAAAAGCGCCAAAAGCCGAGAAGAAACCCCGCGGCATCGACGCAGCCCTGGGCTCCCTCGACGGAAAGCCATCCGCGCTCAACGCCAGCGGTATCGACAATGCGCTCGATGCTCTGGATATCACGGGCAACACGCAAGAAAAAATTGACCGGCACCCCGAGAGGCGATTCAAGGCTGCGTTGGCCGCATACGAGGAAGATAGACTTGCCGAGATGAAGGACGACAAGACCTTGCGGCGACAACAGAAGATTGAGATAATACGAAAGGAGTTCGAAAAGCATCCGGACAACCCGTACAGACAGGTTACTGGAGCATACAATATGACAAGGGAGGAGAGGGCTGCAATCCAGGAAGAGGAAAGGGCCAAGAAGGAAAAGAGGTTAGTAGGCGTAAACTAAGGTGGATACGGCTGCTGGGACAGTGTGTGCAGTTGTGCAGAGCATCCATATTACGGGAGGCCTTCAGGCTCGAAGTGGGGTGATGCCGTGATGAGGGGGTAATGCGAAGGCCAAGGCATAATTAGAGGAGTCTTGCCGAATGGCTGTGTGATGGAGGACCGGCCCTTGCCGCTTGGTGTAATCTCGTCGGTTGCTTTTTGCTTGTGTGATCTTCACATGCTAGGCGCCATGCGTGTCCACCACAGGAATGCTGAGTTATGCGCGTGTCTGGGGAAGGAAGACTTGGTTGTGGTCGCCCTCGCAAGCGCTTCACATCCAAACATGGCAAGCGACGAAGCCAAACTTAGCAGCTATACAACAATGACTGTGGAGACTGTACGATCAACTCTTCCAGACAATGAAGGACTAGGTGCAGTGAAGACGAGTGGACGCAGAGGCAAGAGGCCGCGGGTATGAAACAGCCTGGCTAGCGAGTGATTGGCTAGGGCGCCATTTGTTCCTGAGTTTCGAAACGCCCGCTTACACCTCCCCTGCCGCCTGCATCCGCGCTCTCCTTGTTCAGCGTGGCTTGGTTCGAGTCAGCCCAATTCTCTACATAATGCCAGGCCCCTTCACCGAACTAGGCTTCTCTCTTCACTCACGCATACTGTTTGCGCTGTACACAGTCGTTACTTCGTTTCTGCCTTGTTTGTTTTCTTGTTTCTCTTTTTCCCACCTCTTTACATTCGTTTCCGAGTAAGCATGAAGTTCTTCTCAACTCCGGGAGCTGTGCTCTTGGCTGCTTTTGCGGCAAGCACCGCCAACGGTATTGAGTTCGATCCCGAGGACGAAGGTGAGACAGCAGTTGAATACCGCACGTTCGTTTCTTACAGGCTAACTTGACCAGCGTCTATCCTTGCCGTCACTCGACAATATGCGTACAGCTTGATGTCGCTCTACAAGGGCAATGCTACAGGTGTTCCAAAGCAAGATATCGGCGTTTGGCCAAAACCCCACTACTGGTGGGAGGGTGGTGCCGCATGGGCAGGCGTGATTGAATACAGCGAGATTAGCGGCGACGATTCGCATGTCAAGGCGCTCCAGCAAGCATTGACTGCCAACTACGGACCCAACAATGACTTCATTTTAGACTACCGCAGGAGCGAGACGGTATGGGAAACCATGGCGCCATCTGATGGCAAGAGCTGACTGTGCATCCCAGGGCAGCGACGACGAATGTTTT